ATAATATCATACCCTTATCCAAAAATAAATCCAATCTTTTACTAAACAATTTTTTTAGTATTTTTGAGAATTGTGATAGTAATGAAACAGGCCTGTAATTAGTGAAGCTATGTTTATCTCCAGTCTTGAACAGTGGCACCACTTTAGCTATTTTCATCTGGTTTGGAAATGTTCCAGTTAGAAATGATAAATTACAAATATAAGTAAGTGGTTTTACAATACCCCCAATAACATTTTTCATTGTCTTGCTATCGATATCATTATAATCAGCTGATGTTTTACTTTCGCATTCATTTACTAGATCTATGATCTCCATTTCTTCCACTGCTGTGAGGAACATAGAACAGGGATTAAATTATTAGTACTGTTGTCCACTGACAAAGCATCCAGTATTTATTTTGCCAGGTTCGGCCCAACATGTATGTACAGTCTATGGTTTGGCCCAGTATTAACAAAAAAGTTATTAAATCCATTGGCTATATCCCCCATATTTTCTGTCTTACAATTATTATCAAAAAAAAAAATACTCTGGGTAATTATGCTGTCTTGACTGATTTTTTTAAATGAAATTGTTTAGTGTGTCCCATATTCTTTTTATATTATTAGGGTTCCAAGCCCAAAGGGCAGGGAACCCTATTGTTTTTCTACGGATTTTTCATTATTCATTATTATTTATTATTATTATTTATTCTTATTCTCCTCTAATACTGTATGGGGGCAGGAGCCTGAAATTGCCAGAAAAAATCTGACATGGCAGTCTGATAGAAAATCCTCACCGCTACTCAGATTCGAAAATTTGGACCCCGAGTCGCCTAGGTGGCGCTATTGCGGAGGTGAACACGTTTTAGCTACTAGCTCCCAAACCGTAGGTCCTAGAGTCAAAAACTTTATATGTACATGATCCTTGGATTATACTGCATGTCGTTTGTATTGGCCACGCCCATTTCCGCCTAACTAGATTTTTTGCTACATCGCAAAAAACGCAAAACTTTGTTTTAATCACCTATTCGTCATTTTTCGTCGAATCAACTTCAACCTTCGGACCTATGATCTATGGACTAAGATAAGTGGTTGTGATGAAGAAAAATGCAGAAATGTTGAAAATTGAGCTAATGACACCATGTCAAAATCAGTGAGCTAGCTAGCACATGTCCTAATTGATTATATCTCCACCATTTTTCAAGATAAAAGGATGAGACTCTAGATCCTTACAAAGTATAAGAAGTAAGCCCTATCTACTCAATTTTGTTTGGATTCACCAATAGGGGGCGCTAAAGAGTCAAAAAGTTTGTTTAAGCAAAACGGCTTGATGGATTTCCACAGAACTTGCCACATATGTTAATCATCGGACCCTTAAGCTATATTTTGAAAATGAGTAAAAAGTGGGCGTGGCTTATAGGCTTTAAAATTTTTCGCCCTTTAACTAATGAAAAACACACATTTTGTACAGAAAGTTACAAATCATATGAGTCATAGTGACATCTACAATCACAGAAAAAAATTGAAAATTTTCCAATAGGTGGCGCTGTTGTACCCAAAAAATGTTTTTGCCATGTTTCTCCCCATTTCTTTCGTAAAAAAACAAATGGTCTCATCCAGTATCTTCATTGAGTCAGTCAAATTTAGAAGAGTATTTTAAAAAATAATTTAAACTTATGCTAATTAGTAGAAATTTGCATAGTAAGTCAAACGTACTTTCGTTAACTCCTCCCGGCCGTCAAACACAATCACATCACAACTTTGCCTGCCAAGAGAGGAGGAGCGGCTGACCAAACGATGTGAAGGGATTTTGGATAATTTGCTTATTTTTTTTAATATGATTTTTTAAAATAATTTTTTGGGAATGAAAAAGTTTTTTTAGCGTAACTTCAAAAGATTTTGACATTTTTCAAAGCTGTTCATAACAGTCATACCTAAGGTCAATTCAAGTGTATGTCCTGGTTTTCAACTTGATTAAACAATAGGGGGCGCTATAACTAGGAAGAAATTATACTGCTGAACCGGCTAAATGGATCTGCACGAAACTTAGTGGTTTTCATCACTATAGAGTCTTAAGAGTACAATATCAATATGGTAATGATTGATCAAAGTGGGCGGGGTTTATGATCATTTAAAATTTCAAATTTGAAAAATTTCCTAAAAATCACTATTTGCATGTAAGAGGCAAAGATTTCAAGATTGTGTTAACTGGATAGGCTAGAGCTTATGTCACGAAAGCCGCAGCTCCACGAAGAGGTTTGCGCTTTATATTTACGAAAATACATTTTTAGGCTAGCAATTGTAGCGCAAATTCTGTTCTCACAATCTTCTTGTAATTTGCCACAAAGTTCACTCTTAGGTGGGTTATGAAACAAAAAAATGTCGTCTTGATTTGAGCTCCCCCTTGTGTTTAATTGTAGGACATATTTTTGTCTACAGCCACTAATGCAAATATTATTTTGTTGTAAGTACAGTTTTACATTTATGACCCCAACAAAAATATAAGAAGAATTCTCACATCACAGAGGCAACCTGGGAATATTTTGAGATTTCTGTACAAAAGCATAGATTTTTAATGAATTTTTAACTTTTTGCCAGTGTTTCTGTACAGTTGGACTACAACTTAATTAATTTTTGTTAGAAAGTTTTTTAGGTATACAGTAAATATAAACCATTTACAACATTCAACATGTACCTATGGTGATCTGAGATTTTTCTCCTAATTTTAGAAAGTAGCACAATTTTTTTGTGAATATTTTAATTTTGCCTGTGACCCTTACAGTTATATTTACCGATTTTTCTTCAAAAAAGCTTTGAGTCTACTGATTTAAAAACAACATCATATTATTCCGCATGTTAACACTGCCATGTGAGAATATTTTAGTAATTATATGATGGGTTATGTATTTTTCATGATTTTTTAAAACATTTGGTCAGTAAGTCACAAAATGAAACTCATTGTTTTTGTTGAAAATCTATTAAATCTAACGACATTATCAAGTATTTATGTTATCTGTAATATTCTGTTGATGTATAGATTATTGTTTGATAATCTCACTCATTAAATCTTCACGTTCTTTAAAGAGCAAGTCACCCCGAAATCAGCTTTTTTCCCCTGATAAACTATATAAATGTGTGTCTAATCGTGCTGCAGACACGTGTAGTCAATAGTTTTGCACTTTAGTGCATTTTAGTTAAAATTTAAATTTTCTGCCTAAAACTGTCAGTGTTGTGCCGTTGTCAGGTAAAAACTCTTCACTGCATTTGAATTTAAATCTGCCACCGCTATTGGCTAAGAGGTATGCTATGATGTAAACTGGTACATTATGATGTCACAATGTCGTGAGTGTATGTATTTGTTAGTGGCTCCACCCTCTCGATCTCCTAGGCAAAAGCATTTGTTGCATTTTTCAAACATGAAGTGGGAGTGAAGTACGCTTCTTGTAAGGGGTGACTTGCTCTTTAAAATGTTCATTTTCTGCCTAAAACTGTCAGTGTTGTGTCGTTGTCAGGTAAAAACTCTGCTCTGCATTTGAATTTAAATCTGCCATCGCTATTGGCTAAGAGGTACCCTAGAATGTTAGCTGGTACCATGTGATGTCACAATGTCGTTGTGAGCCTGTGTGTATGTGTGTATTTGTTAGTGGCTCCGCCCTCTCGGTCTGCTAGGCAACAGCATTTGTTGCATTTTTCAAACAGGAAGTGGGAGAGAAGTAATACTCTGGTAGGGGGTGACTTGCTCTTTAATAAGGAAACAGTGGAATTCCATTGTAATCACCATTGAGAAGTCAGCCATGCCTCTGAAAGATATGAGTATAGGCTTTGCAGGTTTAATGACGTATCCTGAGTGTTACTTTCATTGCGCCGGTTGAAGTGAGCTGACGGGACGCCGGCGGGAGAACGTGTTTTTGGGGCGGGACCGCGTGAGGACTGGCGAAGTTGAGGGCGGGGCGGGTGGGCGACTGGCGCTGGTGGCTTGGAACCCGTTGATAACTGCTTGCAGTTCTAGTTTTTATATGTAATTATCTTTTTACTATAGTATTCCTTCCTACTTTTTCTAAGAATATTTGTTAACTTATTTTTATATTTTGATTCTGCCTCTTCTGTTCTTTGCTTTAAGAAATCTTTATACAGTTTATTTTTCTTTTTACAAGTGTTCTGTAGTCCTTTACTAATCCATGGTTGATCTTTTTTTTTTTTTTTTTTGCTTTACATTCAACAGAATAACTGGACAGTTCTGATTATATATTGTATTAAATATTGTTAAAAATGTATCATATGCCTTGCCAACTTCAGTTTCTCTACACATGCTGCTCCAATATTGTTGTGGGCATCTATTTTATTTTATAAATGTGTTTATTTTAGGTTACACAAACAAATTCATTTGACTTAATTTTTCAAACAAGCTTAAAAATTCAAAACTCATGTTTTGGGGGAAACTGCACAAAAATGTTCTCTGCCTCCCATTCGGTATCTGGGAGTTCTGGAGCTGCTGCTTGTTGACAAGGCTGGATTAACCATATGGGCAACTGGGCAATTGCCCAGGGGTCCACAAACTCCAAAGGGCCCAGGCCCAGGGCAGCAAGGGCAAGAGCAAAATACTGTATCTGTGATCTCCCGCTTTATATTAAACTAGGGTGACCACATGTCCTCTTTTCCCCGGACATGTCCACTTTTCACCATCAGTCCGGGGCATCCGCGCACGGTCCATTCTCAAAGTGGCGCAACCAAATAACTATAATTAACACACGATTGTTCTAAACACTTCTATTGTGTCATGGAAAGTCCAGAAACGTGTATCATAGCACTAATGTCTGAAACTCTAGCTCTCTCTCACACACACTACTCCCACGTGAGACCCGTGTCTGCCTAACACAACACAAAACTCCAGTGCTTTTAAACACATCCATGACATTTTAAAATTGGGACAGAAATAAGAGACAAATGACACACAACTATTGATATATTCAAGAGTTTTATTATTTGATGATTTTTTTACAACATCATTGGCATTGCAGTTGTTTACTGTAAGGAAAAAAACTAAACAAGTAATACCAGAGCAAATAGTTGATATTTTCTTTATATGGAAAGAAGGAACATCATTTTTATTCAGTTCTTCACCATCTATACACTGTGATACACGATTGGTTAAAAATATTAGCCAACCTGAGCTACAAGCAGATAATACAGCAGAAGACATGACAGAAGACAGGTGTACGCAGTGTCAGTGACACGTATAGGAATCATTTTCAGCACTGGGAGGTGTCTCATGAGGACGTAACACATACAGCAGGAATAGTAGCAGAACAAGAAAAGTTGCATTAAAGGCAAACCTTATATATCAACGTATTAACATTTTACAATGTGACTGACTGCCTTATCAGCTCTTATTTAACACAGTAACATATGTTCCAGCGGTGTGAGGCAGTTAGAGATCCTACTCCTGAAGTGAAAAAGGCAATACAATCGCTGGATCGTTCTAGGAGATATCTCTGAAAAAGGAATAAAGTACGCAAACATGAACAAAAGGCATTTAATAGAAGATGTCTCTCAAAAATCAGTCACCCCCCTTGAAAGGCAAAAAGCAAACAAAAAAGTGCAAAACAAACGCGCTTCAGATTGGCTTTAAAGTAGCATCAGCCAAATAAACATACATTTTATTGTTTCTTTTCTCTAATTGGCAAAAAGAAAGCAAGCGGAAAGCAGAGGATACGATATTTGGGATGCCTTTTCTTGGGATAAGCCAACATCTTAATACAGAGCACCAGCCAGTCCATCCCCGAGCCCCCAATCCCACTCTGGATGTAGTCTCCATCTTGTCCTCTGGGAGTGAAAATCAGATGTCACGCCTGGCTAGTATGGTTCAGGACAGGAGTTCAATTGATTACAAGTCAGGTCAAAAGGGTGGTTTCTCCATTTCTGTGACCTGCTGGAGCCATCTTCATTAAAATAAATTGTGCACTAGTGTATTAATTTATGTACTAAGTGGGGACGACATAGATCTATGTGCAGTGTGTCAATGGAATGAGCGGTGTGTGTGTGTCTGTGTGTGAGAGGAAGACCAGCAGGGAAGCGGTTTCCCTGGGAGCGAGGTTTATGAGATGTAACAGGGCGATGACTGGGGCTGTTCAAGAAAGCCGGGAGCGAGAGCAGATGGTCCACGTCGTCTCTCAGCAGCTGCAGCTTTCTGCAGAAGCTCTAGCTCTATCATTCCTGTCCAGCTTTATGGGCTCCGGGAACTCGTTATACAACTCCACCTCTGTCTCCTGGGGAAAAAAAACATCATGTTTTAGAGGAAATCCCATTCTCTTCACTGCCTTTGTTCAGTCTAATGAATCATGTATAACTCACCTGTTTCAGGGCGTTTCGTGCAATAGTCTGGAATGCCTGTTCTACATTTATGGCTTCTTTGGCACTGGTCTCAAAGTAGGGGATGTTGTTCTTACTCTGACACCAAGCCTGAGCTCTTTTAGTGGTCACCTGTGTGAAAACACGATCAACAGAATCCTCAGCAAAACTGCAAGGGTTTCCCACGGCTGTTTCATGAAGCCATACATGTGCAACTAAACTGTTTTTATGGAGTGAAGTTTAGTACAAATGTAACAAATTGCAGAAAGACGGAAGGTTTTCACTAAAAGTGAAAAGCGACTCTATGGACCAAAGCAAAAACCCATACAAAGACTGTGTGTGTTTTTTTAGCTAAACATCTATTTCCAATTTAAAATGTTACGTTTTTATATTCCATTTCAGTTTAGGAAGTCTTTTTCTTGCCAACGATTGGATCAAACTGCACTAAGCAGCCTGATAGTTTGCTGATAATAAACAAACTTATCAACACAAGAAAATGTAAGCTATGCAGTTTCTACTGATAAAAGCTTATGATTCTTGTACTTTCACCAGGTGCACTTGCATTCCCTACACAGCAGTTAAATCGTACGAACACACGCCACATGAGGCAGGACAACAGGATGGGTCAAAGTTTTATGAGCAACATCACTTACAGCTTACCCCGGCTTTCCACAGGAGCCGTCAGCAGCACGTTACTGCAGCAGCACGTCATAGCTGCTAATAGGAACCGCTGTGGTCAACAGAACCTTTTCCACTGGAGCCGTCAGCAGCGCGAGTCGGCCGCGTCTCAGGAGCAGCATGTCGCGGCCTTTACGCGCCGGTTCTATTTTCTACGCGCGACGCCTCTGAAACGGGTCAAGTTCGACATTTTTGGGGAAGGAAAGACAGGAAATCGGACGCGGAAATGGAGAGAAGCTCTCGAGATTTTCAGAATAAAGAAACGTACTGCCTTCCGGTTGCTTTACTTTAAAAAAGGTTACTAACTGTGCGGCCCCGTGAGAAGTTATCACCTAGCTAGCGGTCTCCTTTGTTTTTCAGGCCCGTATTGGCGATTATAAAACAGACAGAACATAAAACACAAACATTTTGGAGCCATGTTGTTGTTTTCTCCTGCTTGTTGTTGTGTTTACTGACGAAGTCACTCGTGTGACTTCGTGCTCGGTCTGTGACAGCTGCTCCCCTGCTGCTTCGCGTCTGGTGGGAAGGGCCGAGCAGCAGCTTACGCGAGCAAGACGTGCTGCTGCAGTAACGTGCTGCTGACGGCTCCTGTGGAAACCCGGGGTCAGCCATCATAAAGGTAGGCATGCTGGAATGTTGACAGAAGATTATCAACACGTTCACGGTTCTAGTGTCTTTAATCCCAAACTCTAAATCTAGTTTTGTGTCAGTAATCTCATCTCTAACAGATGACAACCTGTCTGTTCTCCAAGTCAATCTTGTTGCCTAGCACCACAAAGGGGAAGTTCTCTGGATCTCGAGGGCTGGCTTGGATTAGAAACTCATCCCTCCAGCTGTCCAGCGTCTTAAAGGTGTTTGGTGCAGTCACATCAAACACCAGCACACAGCAGTCCGCTCCACGGTAGAACGCAACGCCAAGAGACTGAAACCTCTCCTGGCCTGCTGTGTCCCAAATCTTGTAGAAAAAACAAATAAAACAAGTTAAATCAATAATTCAGCAAGAACACATCAAAAGGAACAGCAACTAAAGTTCTTAAGAGTTTATTTAAAATACTTGGATGATTGATTATTTTAGGAGTCAAAAACAAAGTTATAAATGTACCTGCATTGTAACAAGTCGGTCGTCCACCATTACCTCCTTGGTCAGGAAATCTGCTCCTATTGTAGCCTTGTACTGGTTACTAAACTTTTTGTTCACATACTGGTTCATTAGGGAGGTTTTTCCAACACTGAGAAGACAACAAAAAGCACGATTACTGAGATGGAACATATGGCCAGCATTGTTTAAAGACAGTAGCGAGTTGATGGACCAACATGGGTTTTTTCTATTGCTGATGCGGAGAGGCCATAGTTAGTCGATGGCTGGTATCTACACGTTTTCTGTCTTATTAGCAAGCTAAAATGTCACTAATAGCCATGGATGCACAACATTTTAGAAACCAAGTCAAGTTTTTAACTCTGAATTCAACAAACTATTGGATCTTCATTCTGCGCACCATTTAGTTTTAAAATCAAACTTTTAACTAAAATTATTCAAACAAATCAATAATCGATAGCAATTGAACACCGCTGATGTGAGAGGTTTTCCGCTCAATAATATCAGAGAAGGAGAAACAGCCGGCTGCGACCACTACATTTGCACCTAGAAAACATTGACTGGTGTTTAGCACTCTCTCGTTTACTCTGGATATGCGGGTCCCCACTCCGGCAGATGTGGCCTGGGGATGATAGCCAATGGGATGGGTGAAAGTTCTGTGACTGTGCTCGCATTTGGAAGCTAGCTTGTTTTGTAGTTTTTCAATTGCAGCTTTAAGCGGGAATTTTTTCAGGAATGTAAACATAAGTTTAAATAAAACTCTGCAGCAGCACCAGGCTGCCCACAGATATGCCTGACTTTAAATCAGCTCTATTTAAGAGGTACATCAGTCCGTCAATGCCAGCATATTAAGAAATGGTTAAATATTAGCCCCATATATCAGTCTATCCTTAAATGTGATTAACTGACCTGGCTGTGGACTTGACCTGTGGGTCTCAAAATCAGGCCATTTTGTGATGTTACACTCCACAGGGATATTTTGATTAAAAACAACATTAAATTGGCTTAAAACCGTTCCTTTCCAATATAAATCTAAGGCAAGAATGAATTTTAGGCATGACAAATGAATTCAGTGTTGGAGAAAGGAAAAACAAAAGCTAAAATAAGACCTTTGTGTGTTTTATTTGTCGTAAATACAGCAGAAACAGAGATAAACCTCCAAAAATCCCAGTCTAATCACCAGAAGCTTCCTTTACATCCCTTGTTCCCTGCATTCATATCAGAGCATTTATTGGGACTGCAGTTCATTCTGGGAAAGTGGGACCTGCAGTTTAGAGCTGTAACTTGGCAGAGGCTAAACTTGTATCTATGAAACTAAACAAGTATAGTGAAATCTGTTTTATGCAATATATAAGCTGTATTTGTGTTTTTAGTGCAGTAAACTAAATTTTTTGCTAATGAAAACAAAACAAGATGACTGGACTTAATGATTGATGAGTGTGTAGCAGTTCAGAGGGTTGAAAATGTGTAGATCCTTTTACCTAATCATTTATAAAATGTCACGGTCATGAATCCATTCACAATATTATGCCAACATGTCTCTTTCATGTTTGGCAGCATCTAGTTTACTTCCACTGCGGGCTAAAGCTCCCAGAATGCAGAGTACTGAGCAACATCCCAGTACTTTTATGGAACAGTCCATTGTCTTGTGAATTTGAAGTACACTTATGAAAGGCTCCTTCATAGAAAACAAGAAACAGGTAAATTGCCATTTCATGGTCCAGTGTGAACAAACTACATTACAATAGTTGTCACAAGAGATGACATTAAATATTAGAACACAACAGTGTAACAAACATCGTTAGAAACAACTAACTGAACACCTTCATTAATTTGCTCCTATTAAATGCAAAATGTTTCATCACAGCAGGTTATGACTCTAGATGGAAAAGTAGTAATTACTAATTCTTACTAGGTCTAAACTAGCCATTACTAGTATAGTGGTCCAAGGTGTTTACAAGATTTTATTGGGAAATCGCATTTAAAGCTGCAACGGCAAATTTGGAAGAACAAAACTTTGCTTAAAATATTTTTCATGCCTCTTAACATTCTAACCTAGTAGCTATAACTATATTGTGGAGATAAAAAGAAAATAGTGATTCTCTTGCATTTGTCTAAAACGTCCAGCAATAACACATTTTGGACTAAAAGCAACTACTGGATAATCCGGTTGTTGGTCTCACCAAACAGCCACAGTTTCGCACGTTCCTGGGTTCTCCACTCATGGCCTGTATTTGATATAGCGCCTTCTAGAGTCCTGGAACCCCCCAAGGCTCTTTACAACACAACCAGTCATTCACCCATTCACACACACATTCACACACTGGTGGGGATGAGCTACAATGTAGCCACAGCTGCCCTGGGGCACACTGACAGAGGTGAGGCTGCCGAGCACTGGCGCCACCGGTCCCTCCGACCATCACCAGCAGGCAACATGGGTTAAGTGTCTTGCCCAAGAGCACGACGACAGCGACAAACTGAGCAGGACTCGAACCTAACCCCAACCCTAACCCGATTACGGGGGCGAGCACTTAACTCCTGTGCCACCGTCGCCCACTCATAACGCACTTACATATTTAGCAACAGAACACTACTGCCGGCTGCTACCACTTCAACTTTAGGACAAACTACTAGAGTCCCAAAAAGAAAAACACCATTTGGTCTTGGACAAAAAGAGAAATTTGGACCTAGAAAACGCTCTTTTGTTCCCTCCGGCATTGTGGGTTTTCAGTTCTGCCAGAAGCGTCTCAGTTTGCATTCAAAACCTAGCTAATTTACAGATTCGCCATAACAGTTTAAAAACAAAACAAAATGTTGTTTAAAACTTTAAGCTGTTGTTGTCATACCAGTTTCTGCGGTTCTTGAGCCAGAAACTACCCTTTTGTAGTTCGGGTAAGAACACTAGTGGGAGGTATCTACCTGCTTTCCAGCAATAGCGGTTTACTGTGCCGGAGGCTTATCGCAGGTTTTCCTAATATCGTGCAGCCCTACTTAAAATGTACCCAAAGCTTCCTCCCAGTTTCTCTTTAAGCTGAATTTAATATCAGTTTATCATCATGAAACAAAAGAATAAAGTGGAACAAGAACGTCTATCTTCTATTTCTCTCTCCTTTTAACTTCTCTGTGTCCCTAAATAAAAGAGACAGATGATTACGCTGCAGCCGCCGTCACTCACCCCGCCCTCTCCCCAAGACCGGACCTCCCGACATCACAACACTCGGTCTGACTGAGCGCTTCCAGGAGAAACAATAATGAAATTATGAAAATAATAACGCGTTTGGAGGAGCGTCCTCCGATCCTCTCTCTTATGTGAGCAGACTCTCTCTCTCTCTCAGTCGCTGATCGAGCGAGCGGAGCATGCCGCGCGACAACCCGCTCAATTAACATAATTTACGGCCCAAATCCAACAGAACCGGTCGGGCTGATTCGATTTGGGTTTGGTCTCAGGTTATAACTCCAGTGCTCAGCCCTGCAGTACCACATAAAGGCAGACCAAAGTTTCCTACCCGGTAAATGTGGACAACACCGCTCTGACAGATCTGGATGCTGCACTGGTGCCGCCGTTAAAATAACAAAACTACATTCCACTATAACTGATTATGGTACTCTTCTATGATGCAAAAGTGTTTATGCCCGCATTTCATGCATTGATTATTTGATTATTTTCCTCAGCTCTATCCTACACCTCCTGGTCGGCCGTCAGGGGTTGGGGGGTGCGCGCAGGGTTTGGGGACCACAAAGAGAGGGCTCGCAGGCCGGACGTGGCCCGCGGGCTGCCATTTGCGGACCACTGGCCTACACTCTTAAGAGAGCTAAAGGAGGCTACAAAATCACACACTGATGGTGACCTGGCTTTGTTGCTAGTGCTACTACACTTAAGTATTAATTTTTTTTTTGTCTAACAGCGTGCATCTTTTTACTTTCTGGCTTATTTAGTGTCAGTTGGCTCATGTTAGCATTAGCTCGTTGTTAGCACTAGCTACAGCAGGCTGCGGCAGGGTTATTTACAACTGTCGTAATTCTGCTTTCAACCAGGAGGGGGAAGCAGGAAACTTAAGCATTACTTTAATGTAGGAAACTTCAATAACAAGATTTAAATAGCATTGAACACTGATTGCAACAGTTTTCATTAACAACACAAAGAACAGAGCAAGAAAATATCTGCTAGTGAGTCATCTTTAGAGAACACGCACAGAAAACAAAAAAGACATTTTAATAGAGGTGTGCCGGCATTTAAAGAAGCAGAGGGTTTACTCTGCCCGGAAACAGCTTATGACATAAATCCAGCCAACAAGGAAGTACCACACAGTGTACACTCCTACCTGAAATTCTAACCAACAAAAAATACACATGCAGGTTATTCTTGAACTATTTTAAGAACAGAACTGATTTTGACAAGAACAAATGACATGTGACTCACCCAGAATCTCCCAGAATGATAACTTTCAACAGTACTTTCTTCCTGGATGTCATTTTTCCACAGCTGCAGAGACACAGAGGAAAGATTAGAACATTTAATATCCCACCAAGCTCTTCGTCGCTAGTCTGAACCTGATTTAATGATTTCAATTGTCCTGAGACCACCTGATTCATACAAAACATGAATAACATTAACTATTTTTGCTGTCCTAGAAAGAGAAACATTAGGGAAGAAAAATGCATGTTGATCTTTCAAGCTTCTACACCAATAAGGTTTGAATGCCACTCATTCCAGTCATGTGCTCTATAAGCTGTTGAGATCACGAGGGGCACATCTCTCTCACTCTCTCTCTCTCACACACACACACACACACCCAACAGGAAGTCACTTTTTAAAGGCTCGACCCGTCTACATGAATACCAATAAACTGACCACCTGCTCTGAGTATCTACATGATAGCATGGGGTACCTGTGACCTCAGCAGCCATTACAAACTGACCTGGTACAACTTTGTTGCCCTATCTGGATTACGGACATGTGACAGTGGACTCATGCAATAACTTAAAAGCTTAATTTGGTGACACGAGACACAGTCGAGTTTTTCAGTTTAAATAATGCCAACATTTTAGTCTGAACCAACAAAAATCATGATCTACACGTTAGTTAACTACAAAATTGAGAAGAGTGAGTGAGATATTACTTTGGCAACAATACAGTCCACTGTTGAGCAAATTTTGTAACTCCAGGAAAAAAGGAGGAAGATGAAGAAAAATCTTGCAAAATTCAATAGTGCGAACAATCTTCTGCCTGGTTTGTTTAAAAGCCTTTGCAGAGCTAAAAAGCAAAGGGAAAACTAAATAAATCAAAACAAAAATGTGGCATGGGCATGTTCCAGTCGTGTAGGATTATTGTTAAACTACTTCCTTCCACAAACAGGGATGGCATAAAAGTTCACTTGTGCTAAATAAACAACATTTCTACTAAATGAACACAGCAGTCAATAGTAATTAGTATTATCATTGAGGATACCAAGATCTGCTCCAAAGGCAGATAACCGAACATCTCATATAGAAATAGTGAAATTAAAAAGTCTTTACTTTTACTATAACTTTCATCTCTGATCCCTATTTTGGGAGCTTTTCATTTCTACTTCACTTTTTTATGGCATTGAATAATCAGTTTGATGAAAAGCTTCAACAGAACATTCTGACCACGTCCCATCAGCACTGGCCGGGCCAACGTGCACCCAACACACATCATAAAAGTCACCATTTACAATCGCTTCAAACCCAAAACAAGACAGCAAACTTAAAGTGTGAAACAATATAAAACCCCATGATTTAATAAATACAGAGCAATAGGTAAAAAACCTAAACTAACTTCTAAAACCACTGATTCTTGAGTTGAGCTGTTAAGGATACTTGTGTTCCCTCTGATTGGAACAAGCGTAGTCCTCCAGTGATAAAGAAAGCATAAAGCACAGACCAGCTGACTGAGTTGTGAAAAACAGCAGCTAACTCAAGTCTAGGTGTGTTCAGTTACATTATTACAGAAGAGCACGAGACCAGGTCTGTCTCCTCTGACTCATACCACAGACATTAATTTCTAAATGCTAGTCATGGATGTCTGAAACAACAGTTTGAGAAGATTTTTACCAAAGCTGACAACATGATTCAATTGTTATCCAATCAAAAGTAGTAGATTTTCCTGCTAAACTGAAGGTTGTCCTTGCAATTTTTCAGATTTAAGAAACAAGTGAACAAGCTTAGTTTTTACAGCAATAAACTGGACTTCTGGATGTTACGTAACAGCTGGAAGACTCATTAAGAAACTGTTGAAAAGGGTCACATGGTGGATTTGAGTAAAAGTCCCGACCTAATTCCCGTTTGTCCGACTGTACATCTCAGGCAAAAGCAGCTGAAACTCATGGCTGGTATGGATTATAAACATACACAAACAAACTCTAAACAGACTCAGAAGGCAGAGTTCAGATGTTCAGTGATACCTAGTTATTCCTCCTGTGTCACAAACTTAGGTCATTTAAGTTCAAAGACAGCAACAGATTTTTTTTCTCATTATTAAAATCAAACTGCAAGTGTGGAACTGTTCAAACACGAGCCACTAAGATAATGTGCTGCTGTAGTTATACAATCAATGCTAATATATAAACCTGCATTAATCTGAATGTAAGATAAAGGTTGTGTTCAAAAATAACTATAAATCCAAGTAGTGAATTGGGAAATATTCCCAACCATTTACCACATAAACCCCCCATGAACAGGCATTGCTAGCTGAAAAAAAATTCCCAGATTTAATCTGAGCCAAACTACCAGGCTGGTATTTGATATCATGTTCCATTAATAAGTAACCTGAGAAGACTTGATCACATTGAAGGAATAAAGTCATGATTAAATGTTGTCATGTAGTGTCAAGCTGTCAATCATTAAAAATTAATCACTGGGCAGGAACATAGGTCAGTCTGCAAGCTGAGCTGTGAAAAAGCCACAAAACTTCAAACTGAACAAAATTTTATTTTATCTAACTTGCTGATGTTAGTTATAATCAGTGTGGCCAAATTAAGAGTATTTAAACTGTCAAATCATACAAAAGCTATTTGTTCACAATCTTGTTACAGATTATGAAATTTAAGAAATATGTTTTCCAAATTTTGCACAAATTGCCATTATCATTAACATTATACTCTTATTAAAAATCCCAAATCACTTAACGCTGTAGACACATTTAGGGTTTGAAAAACGTCAAATGTTTTATAGGAAGATTTTTTTTCTTTCAAATTACACCAAGTTTGGCTAAACATGAACAGAATAATTAGTTTATTTTTTGTAAGCAAACAATGAGTCAGAAGCGAAACAAAAACTAGTTGATCAGAGGGCTCGCCCCTTGTCTGAAAACAACAGCTAAAAGATGTAACGCTTCCCACAGCCTGTTTTCTGCGGTAGTGTCAAATGTCGACCTATGTCAGCATCAAGACCTGCTCGGACACCCTCAGCGCTCGGTGAGGAAGCCATTAAGGTCTGGATTTGCTGTGAGAACTCGTCACCTAGTGAAAATAAAACGAAGAACACCGGGAATTCACTAATATCCTGCCAACAGCTGACAAAAGGATAAGGCTTCTCTTCGCGATCCTCTGAGCTTAGCTCACCGGTTCTCCTTCCTTGTTGGAGTCGACCAAGAGGAGCCACAGGCCGGACTCGACAACCCCTGCACCGCTGTTATCGGTCTCAGCGCCAGGGTAGACCGAACACTGGACCAACAGAATACAGATATCAACAATGTTCTCCTGGTTAAATACTTACTTTTAAGTTGAAGCACACAGAAGAGGTGACTTCTTGACCGTTTCAAAGCCGGGAGCTAACTAGCTGTTATTGTTCAGGAAAGCTAACCAAAATTAAGCGTTACGTTAGCTCGGTTAGCTCGTCGGACCTCTAGACGTTGATTAGATGTAATTACGCAACCTCCTGAGAGAAATCTATAAAAAAAAATATGCAGTAAACGTAGTAGCTACGAAATGAACGTGTTTTAGTTTTGACGAAGCAATTTGTCAACAACTGGTGTAAAGATTTGGCACTTTGCTAGAGAGTGAGCTTGTCTGCTGCCAGACAGCTAACTACCCTCTGCCTCTTCTTCTTTCACTTCCTCCTCCAAAACAACGCCTGCGTCTGACGTCACACGCATCCCGCCTCTCGTGAGCTCAACTATCTTTAGGAAAAACATGTAAAAGTATAAAAACTAACTAACTAATAAATAAACAAATAAATAGGTTTGCTGGAATATACGCTTTGATTTTGACACATTGGCAATATTCATTCTCACAATAACCCTTTTTGTTTTCATTTTGACTATAACTTGAGGCAAATTGTCGATTTATACATGTACATTTAGCAACAAGAATCCTTAATAATAATAAAAAGTGATGAGCAGATTTCCATTCTCATTCCAGTAAGCAGAAAGGTATGAACACCTCTCAAATGTTTATGGACTAGAGTTTTTATAGACAAGGTTTTACTTTTCTCTCGTCAGGGTGAAAACATTACTATCACTTTTTGCATGCTTAATTAAATGACATCATTCACCACTAGAGGGCAGCATTAACTACCTTTGCAGCGCTTGCACTGTGCTTAATTATTTTAAAACGTATCCATGTGCTCTAAAAATAAGCAAAGTGACAAACATTCATCACTTGTCCTTCATTGGCATTCAATAATAAATGTAAATATTGAACTAGCACCTACAGCAAGCTGTTAAACTCATACAGAAGTTTTAATTTCTAAAGCATTAGTTCATTGCTTGTTCCAGATTTTTCCTTAATATTTATATGGGAATTAATAAAACAATGAGTTAGAATGTCAGAATGGTCATTCTACAACATAAATGATTCTTGTTTTATTTATGTCCATCCATTTGTCCATTTTCAGCTGCTTATCCACGGTCGAGTCACGGGAGCAGTAGCCTAAACAGGGACGCTCAGACTTCCCTCCCCCCAGTCACTTGGGCCAGCTCCTCTGGGAGAATCCTGAGGCATTCCCTCCCCAGCAGAGACATAGTCCCTCCAGTGTGTCCTGGGTCTTCCTTTAGGTCTTCTCTTGGTTGGATGTACCTGGAAAACCTCACCAGGGAGGCGTCCGGGAGGCATCCTAACTCTAGCCACCTCAACTGGCTCCTCTTGATGTGGAGGAGCAGCGGATCTACTCCAAGCCCCTCCCAAATGACCAAGATTCTCACCCTATCTCTAAGGGAGAGCCCAGCCACCCTGCGGAGAAAACTAATTTTGATCGCTTGTATCCGCAATCTCGTTCTTTCGGTCACTTCCCAAAGCTCGTGACCATAGGTGAGAGTAGGCAAATCGAGAGCTCTGTCTTCAGACTAAACTCCCTCTTCACCACGACAGATTGGTACAATGCCTGCATCACTGTAAACTCAGCACAAATCCACCTGTTGATCTTGTGCTTCATTTTTCCCTCACCTGTGAACAAGACCCTGAGATACTTAAACTTCACCACTTGGCACAGGACCTCATCCCTGGCCCGGAGAAGGCATTCTACACTTTTCTAGCTCAAGACCATGGTCTCAGATTTAGAGGAGCTGATTCTTGTCCCAGTTGCTTCACATTCGGCTGAAAACTGCTCCAGTGAAAGCCAGAGATTACGTTCTGATGAAGCCAACAGGACCAATTTCAATTTCTATTTATTTATAAAGCACCTTCCTGCCACCAATCATTGCAGCCCAAGGTGCTGAACACAACACAATACAAAAATCAGAATAAGAAAATAAAACAAGAAAAATATTGAATAAAATCAAATATATATTGAATAAAACCGAGCACATGTTTCAGTGCATCCATTTTGCCAACTGAATAAAAGCCAAGCAACACTTATAAACCATGTGTCAACATGGAACAAAAGAAAAAACAAGCCAATATTAAAAATGAGATTAATATTAATAAATACATCAGATCATATCAGTGTAATTCCAGCAAGTCACTTGAATGACTGTGACCTCAAATACTGATGCAGTCAGACTTTACAACTCCAAATGGATGGAAGTAGATTGCTTCACATCACCAGGTAGGCAGTTCCATAGTTTTGGGGCCATCACAGAAAATGCGCACAAACCGACCACATCATCAGCTAAAAGCAGAGACTCAATCCCTAGTCCCCCAAAACAGATCCCCTCAACACCTTGGCTGCACCTTGAAATTCTGCCAATAAAAGTTATGAACAGAATTGGTGGCAAAGGGCAGCCTTGGCGGAGTCCAACTCACTGAATACAAGCCAGACTTACTGTCTGCAATGCGGACCAAGCTCTGACACTGGTCTCACAGAGACCTAACAGCCCGTATCAGAAAGCCTGGTACCCATACTCCCAAAGTACCCCCAAATGGACCTCCGAGGGACGCGATCGAATGCCTTCTCCAAATCCACAAAACACATGTAGACTGGTTGCTCCCACACACTCCAGGATCCCCCTAAGGGTATAGAGCTGTTCCAGTGTTCCATGGCCAGGACAAAAACCACATTGTTCCTCTTGAATCTGAGGTTCAACATTCCAATGGACCCTCCTCTCCAGAACCCTCGAATAGACTTTACCAGGGAGGCTCAGGAGTGTGATCCCCCTGTAGTTGGAACACACCCTGCGGCCCCCCTTTTTAAATAGGGGCACAACCACCCAATCCAGTGGAACTGCCCCCAATGTCCACACGATGTTGCAGAGCTGTGTCAGCCAACACAGCCCTACAACATCCATTCTTAAGGAACTCTGGATGAATCTCATCCACACCTGGAGCCTTGCCACTGAGGAGCTTTTGACAACCTTAGTGACCTCAGCCCCAGAGATTGGAGAGCCAAACCCAGAGTCCACGGACTCTGCTTCCTCACTGGAAGATGTGCCGGTGGGATTGAGGAGGTCTTCAAAGTATATTCTGCCCACCGATCCACAATGTCCCGAATGGAGGTCAGCAGCACACCATTCCCATTATAAATAGTGTTGGTAGCACACTGCTTTCTCATCCTGATGCGCCGGATGGTGGACCGGAAATCTCAAAGCCTTATAGAAGTCTTGCTCCATGATCTAACCGAACTCCTCACATGCCTGGGTTTTTGACTCTGTGACCACCCGGGCCGCATACCGCTTGGCCTGTCGTTACCCATCAGCTGCCTCTGGGGTCCCACAGACCAAAAAGACCTGATAGGACTCTTTCTTCAGCTTGACGTCAGCCCTAACTGTCAGTGTCCACCCGCGAGTTTGGAGATTGCCACCAAGACAAACACCAACAATCCAGCGGCAGCAACTCTGGTCGTCCACCTCGACAATGGAAGCACTCGGACTCAATGACCCCCTGCCTCCCCCGGAACATTTGAAAGTTCTGCCGGAGGTGGGTATTGAAACTTCTTCTGACAGGAGACTCTGTTCCCAGCAGACCCTCACAATATGTTTGGGCCTTCCAGGTCTGACTGGTATCAAAGCCAACTCACCACCAGGTAGTGGTCAAATGACAGCTCTGTCCCTCTCTTCACCCAAGTGTCCAAGACATGCTGCTGCAGATCAGATGAGACAACAACAAAGTTGATCATCGAGCTGTGGCATAAGGTATTCTGGTGGCAAGAGCAAATATGGACAACTTTATGTCTGAACATGATGTTCATTATGGACAATCATGACTAGCACAGAAGTCCAATAACAAAACACAGCTCCAATTCAAATCAGGGAGGGCCTTCTCCCCTACCACACCTCTCCAGGTCTCACTGTTGTTGCCCACATAAGTCCCCCATCAGAGAGGGAGTCACCGGAAGAAGCACTCTCCAGCACCCCCTCCAAGGAATCCAAAAAGGGTGGGTAGTCTGACCTGTAGTTTGGTGAGCACAGACAACAGTCAGGACCCATCCCCTCACATGTAGGCAGAGGGAGGCTACCATTTAGTTCACTGGGGTAAACCCCAACTTATCAAGCTCAAAGATGGGG